AATGATGATAAATGTAAGCTTTTCTAAGGGCAAGTAAACATAAATGACCTGGTATAGTTCTCATCACTAGTGACACTGGTTCAAAACACAATTAATGTTCAGTATGGAAAATAATTTTGCAAAAAAATTTCTGTAAATGTATTTTTTTTAAGTTATTTAAATTCTAGTTACAGTGTAATATTAGTTTCAGGGGTACAAAATAGGGATTCAGCATTTCCATACATCACCCAGTGCTCATCACAGTAAGTGCAACTCCTTAATCCCATCACCTATATTACCCATCCCCCCCACCCACCTCCATTCTGGTAATCATTTGTTCTCTATAGTTGAGAGTCTATTTCTTGGTTTGCCTCTTTTCTTCCCCCTTTGCTCATTTGTTTCTTAAATTCCACATTTCAGTGAAATCATATGGTATTTGTCTTTCTCTGACTTATTTTGCTTAGCATAATACTCTCTAGCTCCATCCACGTTGTTGCAAATGCCAAGATTTCACTTCTTTTTTTTTAAGATTTTATTTATTTCTGGGTGCCTGGGTGGCTCAGTTGGTTAAGCGACTGCCTTCGGCTCAGGTCATGATCCTGGAGTCCCAAGAACGAGTCCCACATCGGGCTCCCTGCTCAGCAGGGAGTCTGCTTCTCCCTCTAATCCTCCCCCCTCTCATGTGCTCTCTCTCTCTCTCTCTCAAATAAATAAAATCTTTAAAAAGATTTTATTTCTTTGACAGAGAGAGAGACACAGGGAGAGAGGGAACACAAGCAGGGGGACTGGGAGTGGGAGAGGGAGAAGCAGGCTTCCCGCTGAGCAGAGAGATGTGGGGCTCAATCCCAGGACCCTGGGATCATGACCTGAGCCGAAGGCAGACGTTTAACGATTGAGCCACCCAGGCACCCCGATTTCACTCTTTTTTTATGGCTGAGTAATATTCTACTGTGTGTGTGTGTGTGTGTGTGTGTGTATACACACACATCTTTATCCACTCATCAATGGACACTTGGGCTGTTTCCATAATTTGACTATTGTAGATAATGCTGCTATGAACACTGGGTGTATGTATCAATATGGAAAATAATTTTTAAATATCACAAAGAAGATTTTTAAAAAAGAAATCATAGGTCAAACTTACAAAAGCTGAGGTCTTTGGTCTTCTTGATAGGCATAAAATAGTTCCTACTGGTAAGGACATGCCTCTATGGAGGATGCTGACCTGAGAGATGCTGAAGCATTTGATTTGCTAATGGGTCCAGCTGAGTGTAATTATGCCAAGAAAACAGCAATGAGCAAAAGACACACAAAGTCCAGGTGGAAAGCTGATTGGAGATCTTCAAACATAACAAAACTATCCACAAGGATTTCCATGGTAGCATTGTTATAAGAGCAAAATGAAAAAAATTATGACTGTCCATCAATATAAAACTGGTTAAATTATGTATGCTTATAAATGTGTATGGAATTATACATGGAATTATCTGCAGCTATTAAAAAGAATGATTTAGGGGTGCCTAGCTGCCCTCAGCTCCAGTCATGAAGTTGGGGTCCTGGGATTGAGCCCCACGTGGGGCTCCTGCTCAGCAGGGAGTCTGCTTCTCCCTCTCCCTCTGCTCCTCCCCCCAAACTTGTGCCCTCTCTCAAATGCATAAAATCTTAAAAATAAAAAAAGGGGGGGCACCTGGGTGGCTCAGTCGTTAAGCCTCTGCCTTCAGCTCTGGTCATGATCCCAGCTGCTGGGATCGAGCCCCACATCGGGCTCCCGGCTCCACAGGAAGCCTGCTTCTCCCTCTCCCACTCCCCCTGCTTCTGTTCCCTCTCTCACCATGTCTCTCTCTGTCAAATAAATAAATAAAATCTGAAAAAAAAATATGGAAAGACTCAATCTCAAAATGCTTATAATTTGTTTGGAAAAACTAGTGACAAACACCAAGACACCAAAACTTAAAGAAAATCCTTGATTTAGTTTATTCAAGTTGCTCATGTGGTACTAGACCCTATGGATGTAAAAAGATATCAACAATATGAGGAAAGTTGTGCCAAATTTTTAAAGACTAAGTGAATTCTATGAAAGGGCAGTTTCTTAAAATTCATCAAGTCTAACCTCCCACTCAATGTCAACATCTCTTTTCAAACACCCTTACCACTCATTTCAGTTTCGGCTTAAAATGTCCTTAAAAAAAAAAAAACCCTCCTAAGTAGTCCATTACCTTTGTTAAGAACTCTAACGTTATTCCTTAAACTAAAGTCATTTCTTCTAATTTTTTTTATTTAAATTGGCCAACATATAGGACATCATTAGTTTCAGATGTAGAGTTTCTTATAATTTTCAATCACTGGTCAATTTGTCCCAGTTCTGCCCTCTGGAATGAAGTTTTGTTTTGTTTTTTAAGTAATCTCTACACCCAACTTGGGGCTCAAACTCACAACCCAGAGATCAAGAGTCACAGGCTCCACCGACTGAGCCCGCCAGGCACCCCTGCAATGAAGTTTTTTGGTTTTTTTTTTTAAGATTTTATTTATTTGACAGAGACACAGTGAGAGAGGGAACACAAGCAGGGGGAGTGGGAGAGGGAGAAGCAGGCTTCCCACTGAGCAGGGAGCCCGATGCGGGGCTTGATCCCAGGACCCTAGGATTATAACCTGAGCCTAAGGGAGATGCTTAACCAACTGAGCCACCCAGGTGCCCCTCTTCTAGTGATTTCCAATGACTCTGTGCCTTTGGTAATTTTGTACCTCTCAGGAGAGATGTAGAGTTTCTTATAATTTTCAATCACTGGTCAACTTGTCCCAGTTCTGTCCTCTGGAATGAAGTTTTGTTTTTTAAGTAATCTCTACACCCAACAAGGGGTGCCCAAAACTGACTTCTTTAGATCTCTGGGGATAATTAAATACCAGTCTGCTCATTTCTGCATCAGTTTCTACTACTGTTTGAACTTTGACGACAGTGAAAAAGTTTCTAATTCAATTCTACTCCAAGATGAACTGATATTGAGTTATACAATATCATTACACAGCCTTCTTTCATAACATGAACATTCTTAACTGCCAAAGTATAATGCAGGAATATCATTTTAGAAAGATTTTATTTTGATCTATTTCTGTAAGTTTCCCCAGACTGGATACTTTGCCATTTAATATGAATACTTCTGTACGAGGTACCTGCTTGTTTCAGTAATTAATAATCTTCAGGATCTCCGTTCAAAAGACAATGACCTGCTGGTCTCCAATCCCCCAGGTTCAAAAGAAGAGACATTCAACTAATGTGAAAAGGGAAAGAGGTTAGCTAAATAGCAGAATTTCTAGACAACGAAAGTTCCCCAATATTAGAACAGCAGCAGCTCCTTCTCTGAAGTTATTTAAATGCAATTAAATAGGAATTTCTGGTTTAAGAGTTGCTGCCTAAAGACTCTTTCATAAGAACTAGCACTGTAATACGGTATAGCAGTAGAGATTTAAACTGTCCAACGGACATTGCAAAACCCAACCTCCCAAATCCTGCTACTCAACAGCAGGGATCTAAAGGAATAAATAGATTCCCAGCTGCTGAGAGAAAATGTCTTACTAAAAGCAAAGCAAAATTCTCATTAATGAAAAAAATCAACCATGAAGAAAAAAAACTGTCTCATAATCCCTGGAAATAGTCAAATCCATTTTGGGTTAATGGACATTTAACAAAACAGTGGAAGAGAACGGAGCAAAACAGTTCCCTTTGCCAGCAGCTGGGGGAAACACCCATCAGAGAGATCATAAATAACAATGCTTCTAATCCACAGAGCCAAAAGAAACATGAACTCTATCCAGTGAAGGGTACCAGGAAAAGGCTTTTTTTTAACTTTTTTTTAAATTTATTTGACAGAGACACAGCGAAAGAGGGAACACAAGCATGGGGAGTGGGAGAGAGAGAGAAGCAGGCTTCCTGAGGAGCAGGGACCCCAATGCGGGCCTCAATCCCAGGACCCTGGGATCATGACCTGAGCCGAAGGCAGACGCTTAACGACTGAGCCACCCGGGCGCCCCCAGGAAAAGGCTCTTGCAGATAAATTCTCTCTCTCACCATCAAGCCACCTTATCCTACATCCTGTTGAAAACTGATATGATAGGCTGTAACTTAAATTTTCCAAGATCAAATTCAATGACTAATCCAAACCCTGCTTTTTCTAATCAGATAATCTCTAAAATCACAGTAGTCGCATGCATTTATTCAAAGCCAATATTGAGCTTCTGTGTCAGTCACCAAGAATACAAAAACCAGTAAGAAAGTCTCTACCCTCATAGAGCTTAATCCATGCACCTTGCCTCATCTTAAACCCCAAAGCTCTTGCTTTAAAATATCTTCTTAGATGGGTCAAGTGTCCTCAATGAAAAAGCAATAAAGGCCCTTTAGCCACCGCAGAAGCTAATAAATAAATATACATATAGGTCACACGACTTATGTTTTGCTCCAAAAGGAGAGAAGACAACACACCTTCCCAAGTCGAATATTAGCATAATCTTAGCCTACACTACAAAGAAGCAGGGAACGAGGCAAGCAACAGAAGGTGCAAGCCAAGGAATATAATGGAATAAGGGATGTGACAGCTGTACCATATCGCGTTCAAATAGCGATAAAAAGAACCTTCTACTAATCCGCCTGCAGTTCCCCACGGTGCAGGGAAAAGGAAGAAAAAGGGAGACTGTCCACTGTTGACACCAACTATTCGCGGTTTCTTAGCTAGTCCACTCTCACTACAAAAGAGCCCCAGTCACTGTTTAATAGTATCTGGGCCTGCCAGCCAACAACTCTGTCACATGGCCACCGAAATGGAGAGGTTAACAGTCCCTCACAGGAGAGTGAGGAAAAACAAGAGTAGAAAGAACCTCTTTAAATGTTTATAAATGAGTTAACATAATCGCCCCCCGAGGCACGGACGGGAAGTGAAGTTTGGAAAAGGTGGTAACCCCAACCCCACTGGACACATGTGGAGACCCCTCGGCGACCCCCGCCCCCCTTCCCCCCGAGTCCACACACTCACCGCGTACACAGAGCAGCGACATGGCCGAGGCACCGGCGAGCCTCCGCCGTACCCCAGCCGCGCCGCCGCACCCGGCCGCTCCCTCTTTCCTCTCAGCAGGTGCCGCGGCTGCTCCCGCTATCGGCCCCACAGGTCTGACGGCTCCTCATGGTCCCCGTGGCAGGCAGCGTCCCGCCGCTCCCTCGGACCCGCTTCAATTCTCACCGTCTGACTGGGTTCCCAATCGCTGTGAATACGGGCTGGTAGGCAGGAGACTGGGCGCGGCACCGCGGCGCCATCGCTGGGAGGTAGGAGCTACCGGGACTACCCCCCTCCTTTCGCTCCACCGGGATCCTGGCGAGCCTCTGTAAGGAGCCAACCCGTGGCGCTCCGCCTCCCAGCCAATCAACTCACGCCCAGTCCTCCGACCCCGCCTCTCAGAAGCACGTAAGAGGCGGGGTTTCCTTCTCTTTCCTTACGGGCAAGAATGAAGGCAGCTCCGCCCACTAATAAATCTTGGAACAGAGTGGGAGGGGCTTTCCCTCAAGAGTGTGAGGAGGTAACTGAAACCCTCTGCTCCTCCCACCCAAGAAGATTCTTTTCATTGAAGAATTTCCTTCCGACTTCTTAGGCTATCCATTACGGCTGATGGAGCCTCTATCTGGAATAATTTAACAAGATCGTACCACAAGGCAAGCATATTTTAATTAGCAACTACAGCAAAAAAAGTAAAATAGCTGAGTGAGCATACAGTAAAATGTTTGGAGACTTCAGTTCTTATCTAGACCTTTTTTTTTCTTGCACGCCATTGTATCTCCAATGGCTATAATAGTACCTGGTATATAGAAATCAGTCCGTAAATATTTACTGAATGAAGGATAGAGGGAAGATAGGTCTTTTAAGCTAGGACTTCTGGTAAAATGACAAATGAACATGTGAGGATGTGAAAAAGACCGGAGCAGAATACAGGAAGACACAGAGTATAAAGTACAGGTCCAACAGCCCTTCCACACCACAGTTCTAATTTAATTGGTGGGGGCTAAAGCTCAGGGATTCTATATTTTAAAAGCTCCCCAGGAGGGGCGCCTGGGTGGCTCAGTCGTTGGGCATCTGCCTTTGGCTTGGGTCATGATCCCAGGGTCCGCTCTGCGGGAGGCCTGCTTCTCCCTCTCCCATCCCCCCTGCTTGTGTTCCCCCTCTCGATGTCTCTCTCTGTCAAATAAATAAAATAAAATCTTTAATAAATAAATAAAAATAAAGAATAAAAGCTCCCCAGGTGATTCTAATGTGATGCCAGGGCTGAGCACTATTAGAGGAGATGCTTTCCAAGGCCTCATTAGCCCAACTCAGATTTCAGCATTTGCAAGCTCTTAGCCCCATGGGATTCTGCCTGCCAGCCGGAGGGAGGGTCTGTCAATCTAAAAGGGTCTTTTTTTTTTTTTAAAGAATTTTATTTATTTATTTATTTGAGAGAGAGAGAATGAGAGATAGAGAGCACGAGAGGGAAGAGGGTCAGAGCGAGAAGCAGACTCCCCGCGGAGCAGGGAGCCCGATGTGGGACTCGATCCCGGGACTCCAGGATCATGACCTGAGCCGAAGGCAGACGCTTAACCAACTGAGCCACCCAGGCGCCCAATCTAAAAGGGTCTTTGCCCTCCAAAAGCAAACCTAGCTATCATATGATTTCTCTCACTGGAATAGTTGCTATGAGTGATACTCCAAATGCAATAGCAAGCAACAGCAAATGCAATGAAGAAGAAGACTTGATCCTTCCCGCGTTCATCCAAATTTGGAGCAATACCCTGAGGAAGATTTTGACCAAGTCAACTGAGCCAGCCTAGTCAACAGAGATGCTGACCCTAAAAATAATGGGCATTCTCTGGACTGCTGGAGGTTGGGCTACCTAGCTATTTAGCCCAGCTGTCCTTTATAAAATTGAGGCGAGCATGAACTTTGAAGCCAATCAGATCCACCTGGTGTATTATCTATTGTGTAATAAATTACTCCAAATCTCAGTGGCTTAAAACAACATTTATTATCTCACAGATTCTGTGGGTCAGGAATCTGAGTATAGCTTGATTGGATCCTCTGGCTCAGGGTTTTTTACAGACTGCTATCAAAGCGCCAGCTTGACTGCAAAAGCATCCACTTCCAAGCTCACACACGTAATTGTGGGCAGGGCTCAATTCCTCCTAGACTGTTGAACTGAAAGCCCCGGTTCCTTATTGGCTATTGGCTGGTCTCAGTTCCTTGTCATTGGGCCTTTCCAACATGGCTGCTTGCTTCATCAAAGCCTGCAAGCTGAGAAGGCAATAAAGTCTGTTAGCAAAATGGAAGTCACAATCTTTTTTAACCTAATCATGTAAGTGACATCTCTCATTTTTGCTGTATTCTATGTGTCAGGAGCAAGTCACATTCAAGGGAAGAGGATTACACAAGGACATGAATACCACCAGATACTGCCTCACTGCGACAACCATCGTTGGGAAACCATCCTAGAAATCTGCCTGCCACCTGGATTTGAGTTCTAATTCTAATACTTTGACCTTGGGCAAGCTACATGGCCTCAATTTCCCAAAGAATAATAATAGTAACTACTTCATAAGATGGTTTTGAAGTTTAAATGAGGAACTGCGTCTAAATTACCTAGTACGGGGCGCCTGGGTGGCTCAGTCCATAAGCGTCTGCCTTCGGCTCAGGTCATGATCCCCGGGTTCTGGGATCGAGCCCCGCATCGGGCTCCCCACTCAGCGGGAAGCCTGCTTCTCCCTCTCCCACTCCCCCTGCTTGTGTTCCCTTTCTCGCTGTCTCTCTGTCAAATAAATAAAAATCTTTAAAATAAAAAAAATAAATTACCTAGTACATACAAAAATGCCCAATACATGTTTGTTGTTACTTAGATTGTGGACATGAAGGGAGGAATGTGACTGGGAAGTAAAGGGAAGGTAAGCAGAGCAAGAGTCTAAAGGTTGTGATGTAAACTCGGAAGCATCCCAGTTTCCCAGTTAAAAGTTCAGAGGAAGGGCGCCTGGTTGGCTCAGTCAGTTAGCCATGTCTCAGGTCATGATCCCGGGGTCCTGGGATGGAGCCCCACATCGGGCTTCCAACTCAGTGAAGAGCCTGCTTCTCCCTCTCCCTCTGCCTCTCCCCCTGCTCCTGCTTTCTCTCTCAAATAAATAAAATCTTTAAAAAAAAGTTCAGAGGAAAAACGCAATGATGTCTTCTGCCCTCTAGGCGCTTGACCGGCACCAGTTATACTCATTAGCAAGATAAATGTATCTTCAGAAGCAACTCAAACCGGGATAGGAAACCAATCCTCCATGCCCCACAGTCTTCTTTAGTTTTTCCAGTACAGTACTTGAAAGTTCTTCAGCATTTGAATGGAATTCATACTTAAGATTTACCTGACAGGTAGCTGAGAGCTAGGACTCTGAAATCCAGGAAATGAGAAGGAAGGTGGGAGGGATCAAGGAAAATAGGTAGTGAAGAGAACCCAAGAATCTCAAGAGGTTAAGACCATGGGGCGCCTGGGTGGCTCAGTCGTTAAGCGCCTGCCTTCGGCTCAGGTCAGGTCCCCGGGATCAGGTCATGGGATCGAGCCCTGCATCGGGCTCCCTGCTTGGTGGAGAGCCTGCTTCTCCCTCTCCCACTCCCCCCGCTTGTGTTCCCTCTCTCGCTGTGTCTCTCTCTGTCAAATAAATAAATCTTAAAAAAAAAAAAAAAGAGGTTAAGACCAAAATACCTAGGTTTAGCTCTGTTGCTGCCTTTTTTGGGAGCCCTCAGGTAAGAAAGAAGGGGTCCAGGTTAGAACCCTGATGCAGGGGAACCCTCTACCAACTTTATGACTATCTGTAAGCCATGCTCCAGGGCCATTAAAAGTTTACTCCTCCTGCAAGTTCCCTGTCTCCTGGGAAATATCTCCCAATGCCTAAAGAGAAATTTAGTATAAATAACTAATTAACAAATATTTATTAGGTAACCTTTATGTCAGTCTTAATGAGAGGATGCAAAAGTAAACAAAGCAGTTAATATCCGTAAAAAGTATACAAGTTGATAGGAAAAATCTGTGAAAGAACGAGGAACTAAACCAGGACAGTGAAATATGGAACTGAGGGGGAAGAAAAAGGACAATCCCTTTAACACTTCTCAGTGTTAAGGAACTAATGTGATAGAACTTGGCACACAGTAACTATGAATATAGTAGAGAATAAGAACATCCTTTCTTTATAGCAAACCACTGGAGGGAGAGAGAGTTTTAAAGTCAGGTTGACTGAAAGGATGATGCTACAGTCTACTGATAGATAGGAAACCAAGGATGCATAGGTTTGGGGAGAAAGATGTTTCCTTTTGGACATATACATTAAATTTGAGATTGTCAGGTATATTCTTGCATATGTACCCAATAGACAGATGATGTGGACTTGAACCCTAAGAAAGCAGTCCAAGCTAGAGCTAGAGCTTCCGATCAATAAAGATATAACTATTTTATTTTATTTTATTTTTTTAAAGATTTTACTTATTTATTTGAGAGAGAGAGAATGAGAGATAGCACGAGAGGGAAGAGGGACAGAGGGAGAAGCAGACACCCTGCTGAGCAGGGAGCCCGACGTGGGACTCGATCTCGGGACTCCAGGATCATGACCTGAGCTGAAGGCAGTTGCTTAACCAACTGAGCCACCCAGGCACCCAAGATATAACTATTTTAATCCCCATTTTTTTGATAAGAAAATTAAGCAAAACTAGAATGCAAACCCAACTGTATCTTTCACCAGAGCTCAGTTAGCCACAGTGCTATATTGCCTCTTAAGTACTGGAGGAATTCAGCAGAAACTATGGGAGGAATCAAGATAGGCTTCACGAGAGAAAAGTAGCATGTGGAGGAGATGGATCTCAAAGTATGGATAGCACTGAACATGCAAATATGGGAGAAAGGGTATTTCATATACAGAGAATAAGCTGAATGAACAAATCAAGAAATGGAAACATTGAACCTGTACAGGTATTTAAGAGTAAGCTGAAGAGTTTAAGAGTTGGAGTCCTATGGTTGCCAGGAGACTACATAGAATCAGAAAGGAACAGAGGTCATTTATAGAGAACACATACTTTTTTTTTTTTTACTGAATACACAACCTTTTATTTTTCTTCAAATTTGGAGTTTTTTAATTATACAAAGATGAGAAGTCAAGTTTTGTAACCTAAAAATATTTACTTATTAAAACTATATTAATACTTTCATAAACTATACAAAATGATGTGGGGAAAAGAGCCCGAAAAGAAATGGTCAGAGAGGGAAAGCAAGAAAATAAGCAAACCACCCGTATATTGATCCATTATAGATCTTATCTTATTGAAAAGTAATTGCATATCTATCCTTTCTTTAGACTCAGAGCTCCTC